CCTCAGATCTCAGCCTCCTGAGTACCTAGGCTCACAAGCGTGAGCTACCAGTGCCCTACATTTGAAACGTTTTTGTGTGGGGAAGTCAAATCTGTAGAATGAACTTAGTAGGTCCTTGAGCCTGAAGGCAGGGGCTCTATCACTTGAGCCACGCCCCTACTGCGTAAGCCACAGCTACCCTCTACCATTGAAGCCACACCCAACGGAGCCACTTCCCCATAGCTTAAGCCACACCCCTGAAACTTGAGCCACACCCCCTCTTACCATGCCTCTTACCATTTGAGCCACTCCCCCTTCACTCAAACCACGCCCCTGCAGCTTGAATCACCCTTCATACCACTTGGGCCACGCCCACACCATGCAAAGTCACACCCCAACGCTTAGCCACATCCTCTTACCCCTCAAGCCACGCCCCCAACAACTCAAGCCGCGTCTCTGGGCTCTCTCTTGGAACTCCATCCTTTAGTAATGTGCGGCCATAATCTGTGTCTCAGCCAGTAGGTACAAAGTAGTACTTTATCACAGTACCCCCTCTCTCCAGCTAATGCACACCCTGCGTGGAGTCTCATTTTGAGGGTGATACCTGTGGCCATCAAAGTCGAGGCAATAGGAATTTCACCTGTCTTGAGGTCACCCAAGGGCTCCCCCATCCTCAGCAACCCATCCTGTGCTCTCGATCTGCCCACAAAGTTGAACAAAGATAGGCCATGTAAAGGTGACCACAGGACTGACGGGAAAGATGGGAAGACAGAGGCTGTTGTGTGTGTGGGGGGGGCGGGGGGAGACTGGACTGGTAGACTCACCAGAGCTCAGCGAAGGCTTGTCACACAAGGGACAGCTGGAATGGCTGGAGAAGGTCCCTGGTACCAGCTGGTGGCCGTTGGCACACTCACGCCTCTCACGAGCATCCTGAGCCTTGTCTCTGAGAACTAGGCTCTTCCCCTGCATAGGATAGCAATAACTTGAAATCCCTGGGATCCCAGGTCAAAGGTCATCTATGGAGCTGAGGAGGAGGAAGGAGCCCCTCACCCTGCCCAACCCTCCTGACCTTCTCCTTCTGCCTGGTGACCCGGCTGCGGAGGGAGCTCAGGCTCCGCTTCACCCGGGTGCTCTTGTCTGTCTTCTCATTCTTGCTTGCGCCATCTTCGTTCCTAGGGGACAGGAAGATTGACAGGGTTGTGTGTGGGGGCGCCTTGGCATCCCACAATTCTGGAATATGCCTCCCCACATCCTTGCTCCTTTCTTCCTTTTTTTTCCTCTTCCTTTTGGCAATTGTGGGGCTTGAACACAGGGCCTGGGCTCTGTCCCTGAGCTCTTTGGCTCTACCACTTCGAGCCACAGCTCTACTTCCAGTTTTCTGCTGTGTAATTTTGAACTGCAATCCTCAGATCTCAGCCTCCTGAGTAGCTAGGGTTACAGATGTGATCCACCAGCACCTGGCCTTTCTTTTCTTTTTGAACTCAGGTCCTCATACTTGCTTGACCACCAGAGTCACACCCACAGTCCAGCTTTTTGGTAGTTAATTGGAGATGCCCAGGCGACCTCAAAACTCTGGCTCTCAGCTTCTTGAGAAGGATTATAGGCATGAGCCACCAGTGTTGGACTAATTATTATTGGTGTGTGTGTGTGTACTAGTACTGGGACTTGAATTCAGGGTCTAGGTGCTTTCTCTTAATTTTAATTTATCTCTTACTCTTTTTTGTTTGTTTGTTTGGCCAGTCCTGGGGCTTGAACTCAGGGACTGGGCACTGTCCCTGAGCTTCTTTTGCTCAAGGGTAGCATTCTACCGCTTGAGCAATAGCACCACTTCCGGCTTTTTCTGTGTATGTGGTACTGAGGAATCGAACCCAGGGCTTCATGCATTCCAGGCAAGCACTCTACCACTAAGCCACCTTCCAAGCCCATTTTTTATTGTTTTGTTTTTACTCAAGGATGGTATGTTACCACTTGAGCCACACCTCCACCTTAAATCCACTGTGTGTGTGTGTGTGTGTGTGTGTCCTGGCCCTTCAACTCAGGGCCTAGGTACTGTCCCTGAGTTTTTTTGCTCAAAGCTAGCACTCTACCACTTGAGCCACAGCTCCAATACCACCTTCTTTTTTGATGGTGGTTTATTGGAGATAAGAATCTTAATGACTTTTCTGCTGGGGCTGGCTTTGAACTGAATCCTTAGAGCTCAGCCTTTGAACAGCTAGGATCATAGCTGTGAGACATTGGTGTTAGGCCCACATATATTTTTTTTCTGTCAGTGTCTGCAGTTGTGGGGCTTAAACTCAGGGCCTGGGTACACTCCCCAACCTCCTTTGCTCAAGGCTAGCTAGCACTCTACCACTTGAGCCACAGCACCACTTCTGGTTTTCTGGTGGTTGATTGGAGATAAGAGTCTCATGGACTTCTCCTGCTCAGGCTGGCTTTGAACCTCCAAACTCAGATGTCAGCCTCCTGAGTAGCTAGGATTACAGACAGGAGCCATCCACACCCAGCTTTGGCCCACCCATTTTTTAAAAGCCATTTCCTCACCAATGTTCTGGCCTTCACATTCCTGCCCAATTCCCCTGTGTGACCAGCCCAGTGCCATTTAAATAAATATTAATAAAGCCAGCCATGGCAGAACTGTTTTGCTGGAGAGAGATCCTGTTCTTCTAGGATATGTGGATGTGTGCTAGCTTTAAATATTTGTTGAGGGGGGAAGAAGAGAGAGAGAAGAGAGAGAGAAAGGGGGGGAAATCTGGGGATAACATTCTTGTCTGTGTTCCCCAGAATTAACTCTGCCCCCCATTCCCACCATCCTTTTTTTTTTTTGGTCGTGGGCCTTGAACTCTGGGCCTGGGTGCTGTCTCTCAGCTTTCAGCTCAAGGCTAGTGCTCTATCACTGAAGCCACAGTGTCACTTCCAGTTTTCTGAGTGGTTTATTGGGGATGAGAATCTCACAGACTTTCCTGCCAGGGCTGCCTTTGAACCAGGATCTTCAGATCTCAGCCTCCTGAGTAGCTAGGATTACAGGCGTGAGCCACCAGTGCCTGGCTCCCATCATTCTTTAGGATAAAGTTGAGATGGGGGGAAACACAGAGACCCCAACCCAGCCACTTTGACAGCTTGTACTTACTCAGACAGGAACTCAAACCAGGTGAGGCTGGAATGGGGTCCCCCAGGGCTGGTGGACAGGTGAGCCCTCTGCCGGGCCCTGCATGACAAAGGAGACAGATGTTTGACTCCACAGCTGGTTTTGCCCTTCTCCTGCCCCTCATTTCAGAGCTTTAGGGGTGCAAAAGAGGGGCCACCCCACAACAGGGATAGTGTGATAAATTCTCCAGCAGAGGGCAGTAGCAAGTCATGACACCTCAGGAGAATGTATGTGTGTGTGTGTGTGTGTGTGTGTGTGTGTGTGTGTGTGCGTGCATGAAATTATCTCCAAGGAACTAGCAAAGTGCTAGAAATGGAGTTGTGTTCAAGTGGTAGAGTGCTAGCCTTGAGCAAAAAGTGAGAGGTTGCCAGGCGCTGATGGCTCACGCCTGTAATCCTAGCTACTCGGGAGGCTGAGATCTGAGGATCGTGGTTCAAGGCCAGCCGTGAAACTCGTATCTCCAATAAACCACCAGAAAACTAGAAGGGGCGCTGTGGCTCAGGTGGTAGAGTCTTGAGCTGAGGAGCTGAGGGACAGCGCTCAGGTCCAGAACTCAAGCCCCACGACCGACAAAAAAAAAAAAAAAAGTGAGAGGTCAAAGTCCTGAGTTGAGTCCTGGTACCAGCATTTGCAGGATGTACAGATGTGAGCCACTAGCACCCAGCTCCCTCTTGTTTTTATTATAATTGTTATATTTTGAGACGGGGTATTGCTATGTTTGAAGCTGCCTCTAACTCACTATCCTCCTTCCTCAACCTCTCAAGTGCTGGGATTATAGACATGTGTTACCACTCCCCATTGCTCTATTTTCTTTACACCTCACCTCACACCTGCAAGGGAGGGGGGCACTGTTATACTGGTTTTCCCCTGTTGTGTTTCCCACACTTCTCCCTCACCTCTTTCCACATTTGTCCTCTCCCACACCTGTCCCTCATGCCTGTCCCTCGCCCTGTCTCCTTTCCCACTTACCCATGGTACTGTCGAAGTTCTTGAAGCACTTCCTGTACCATCAACCTGGAGAGGAATTGAGTTCAAAACAGTCCACAGTTACCCAAGGTCACATACACAGTACCTAACATGAGCCCAGCCCTGGGCCCTGAAGCAGACCCTAACAAGAAGTCCCAATCCATCCCCCCATTATTGGGAGCTAAAATTGGGCAATGGCTACCCACAATCGCTTAAGAGCAGGATGGCTGCAGCCAGCCTGGTGTAGGTGGCTCATGCCTATAATCCTAGTTACTCAGGAGGCTGAGATCTGCAGTTCAAAGCCAGCCTCGGCAGTAAAGTCCATGAGACTCTTACTCTCCAATGAACCAGCAAAAAGCTGGAAGTGGAGCTGTGGCTCAAGTGAAAGAGCACCGGCCTTGAGTGAAAAAGCTAAGGGACAGGGCCTAGGCCTTGAGTTAACGCTCCAGTATGGGTGTGCATGCACATTTGCGTGCGCACACAGGCATGGACGCACACACGGACACACGGACACACACACACACACACACACACACCACAAAAAGACCAGCAATACTGAAAGTGCATGGGGGCATTCCTGGACTTGACCCTCTTCTTCCTCTCATCCCATCCCATTCCCTCCCCCCTCAGGCAATCACTCACACATGGTTGGGTTCCACGTGGTCCTTCTCTAGGCATTGCAGCACTGGGGGCTGTAGTTCTACAAGACACACCCACCCCAGAGGGCACCAGTGTGAGGGTCCAGCCCTGCCCCAGCCTACCCCTGCAGGGCTGGGAGACTGTTAGGGAAGAGAGATGAAAATAGGGAACGGAAAACCAGCAAAGTCCTCGCCTTTGGCAGCTCCACTGGTGCTCAAGCCACCAAGGGAGAGGGGGAGGAGCAGGTGCGGGAAGCCACACCCCTTTGGGGGACTCTCAAGACCCAGCATTCTGTCCCAAGAGGCCCTACATCTCATTTCCCAACCGCTTGCATTTCTGAGGTCCAGCTGGGGCTCCATCGATGGGAATGTATGTACATCTTCCCACTCCAGTAGTTTGAATGCAGGAACCCTGCCAGGCGCAACTACCTTGGCCAGGTAAAGTGCACACTTCACACTCTGGAGCCAGCTCCAGACAACCGATGTCCTCGCAGGCCAGGGGCACGGATCTGGACCGTAATACTTTCTTCTCCAGGCTGCCCGATTCCTGTGTGAATAAAAGCATCACCCTAAGCCTGGGATTCAGCCCCAGAGGCAGAGCACGTGACCAAAATGTCGGGGGCTCGCTTAAGTTATAGGAAGTTGAGCTCCAGCAATGGGGGCGTGGCTCCAGCGACAGGGCGTGACTCAAGCGTTGGGGGCGTGGCTCAAGGGATTGGGGGCGTGGCTCAAGAGGTAGAGGTGTGGCTCGAGCGGTAGATGGAGTAGCTCAAATGATAGAAGCTCAAGTTGTAGGAGGAGCGAATCAAGAGGTGGGGGTGTGGCTCAAACGGGAGGGGCGTAGCTCAGGCAGTAGGAGGAGTGGCTTGAATGACAGGGGCGTCAATCAAGTTGTGGGAGGAATGAATCAAGTGATGGGGCGTGGCTCTAACGACGGGGGCGTGGCTTAAGTAGCAGAGGCGTGGCTCAAGCGGTATTGCACCTGCCTAGCAACACCTCCGGTCTTGTGCCCTGTGACAGTCATATACATTGACCTGGGACTCTGCTACCTGCAATCCATCATCAAGGTCCAGATATGGGGTGTTTGACCTCTAGACTCCTGAACCAACCTCTTTTCTTTATAACCCACCCCTGTTCTGCGTGCTGTTAGCCACAGAAACCCAACGATTGCAGATGCGAGTCCCAGGGCCCAGAGCCGCACCGGTCATGAGTTAAACCCGCACCCTGCCGCACCCACTCCACCCGAGCATCCTAAGATGACTTGTACCTACAGCGTTTGTTGGCTTCTGGGGGACTGGCCGCAGGGTTACACCCACCTTGTCTGGGTGTTCTGCTGGGCTCCTGTCTCCAGACACACCCCCTTGGGTCCAACTCTTCAAGCCCTCTCCTGACAGATTAAGAGCCAGGCTAGCCAGCCAGCGTGGGAGACAGGGCCCCATATCTGGAGTGTCCAGACTGAGCCTGGTGGAGGAAGAGGGTAGAGAATCTTAGGGGGTCTTCATCTGCTCCAGGATCCTGGATCCAACCCATGGGGCGTGGGGCTTCCAGATCGAGGAGAGGGTAAAAGCCACAGAGAGGGGCCTTCAGTTCCCCAAATCATGGGACCAGCTTCAGCTCTCCCCCACACTCTACTTTCAGGGGGAAGGCAGGTTAGATTGGTCAAAGCTTCATTTGCATCAGACCTGCCCTTACTGCACAGACTAGGTTATTTGGGGGACACTGCAGGAGGGACTGAAGCTCCTCCAGCATTAGATGCTGAAACTGTGGGGTGCAGGGAGAGTTGCTACGACCCCCATCACTTGGTTTTCTGTTACTAGGTTTCCCAGGCTGGCCTTGAACTCATGATCTTCCTGCCTCTCTCTCCAGAGTGCTGAGAGTGTGCTACCACACCAGACTTAGCGCCCTCTTCCCCCCCCCCCACTGTATATGTGTGTGTGTGTGTGTGTGTGTGTGTGTGTGTGTTGGT